AACAGAAATCTAAAAACATTTTACTGTCCTCAAAACGATACAAATTTCCTATGTATTTCCAAGTTGTTCAAGAAAAAAAAATTACAAACAAGAAAAATAAATCAGAATTTTTAGCACCTCTTAACAAAAAAATAAAAAATTTTCTAGATTTTGACAAGAAAAATAATGAATAAAAAAATTTTTTTTAAAAGTGAGAAAGCACTTTAAGAAGAAATGCTCCTTTGAAAAATTTCCCCTATTTATTTAAAACGAATTAAGATATTCAAGACATATTCAGATCAATAGAACAAATTATCCTCTACACAATGTTTATCAATGACTATAAGGTGGTTTCATATTTTGAACTGACATTTCATTTCTATGACTTACAGGATTCTGCTCTAGGCAGCCAGAAATTTTGATTATATAACAATCCAGCCTTCAATTCCAAATATAAAATAATAATAGTCACTAACACTGTAAGAAGAGACACTTATTACAAATTCATTTAAGCTTTTAGAAAAAGTCATAACAATGAGTAAGAAATGCAAAAATAAATTAAACAATATTCTGTGGGTTTGGAAGAAGATGCCTTTATTTAATTTCAGTGATGAAAACTTTCAGTTTCCCATATTTCAAACATTAAAGATTATCTTGAATCCAAAGTTGTTTAGTATTCTTTTCCATGAAAATTGACAGGAACAGATACTACATTTTTGCCACAGACAAAAATTAAAATTTAAAAGAAAAAAAAAAAAAAAAATATAGCACCATCAGTATTCCTTATACAAAATAACTGGTCTGATATTTTCATTCTTTTCCCTACCAATCATAACTTTTATAGAAGTACCATCAAATGTACTATATAGCACATTCAATTTAGAAATTATTTCATTCACTACTTTCTTGTGAATATTTTATTTGCATTTAATTCTCACATAAAATCTTCACCTATTTAGTGAAGGAATACCATAAATTCTTACAACTTTTGGTTACTTTTTATTACAAACTTTTAAAACCTGTAAGCAAACAGAGCAGAGCAAAATAAAGACTAAACCTTGAGCAAAACTCAAATTCACATACTTTATTTCCTCAAGAAGCTAATTTTAGCGTAACATTTTACTGATTAATCCACAAATGCAGCCATAAAGCTTATGTTCATTTTTCTGAAATTTTACAATCACTAGTAACAACAATGGCAATATTGCTTTTGATTTATTAAATGAAGCATTTGTCAAGTATTAATCTTTCAACTGGAATTTCTTTCATCTTAACTTCAGTTGCTTTTTATCACAACTTCTTAAACCATAATTCTTTATTGGTAAAGAAAAGTAATTAATAATGCTTCATAATAAATTTAAGATAATATACTTATAAATTTTTTTCCAGAGTGAAAAACAACACTCCCTGCCACAAATTCAAGTAGCCAGTTTATCATTGTGGCTATAGTGTACCAATCAGCAATCAACACCTTACCTGTTGCATGTTTCGTTTGTTTGGAGAATTTTATTGCAACTTTTTCTTCTTTACAATAATCAATAATTAACTCAATATTTTTGCAGAATGGTATTATGTAAAGTTAAAGTCATGATGATTTATTTGTAAGCACCCATTAATTTTAGAGTTTTAGTTGAACTAGAAGCAATAATACAAATGATAACAAGCAGTTTAGACACAATGCTCTTTTACTTGATATTTAGATTCTATTATAGAAGTAGAAATATTCCTCAGCCAAACAATTTCATTTATTCACTAGCTCTTTACCTACAACACTTAAACTAAGCAAAATAGAAATTTCTAACAATTAAAAAGTCATCAATATCTACCATAACTGTAACAAATGTTATATTGTCAGAAAAACTAAAATTGCAATTCCATTTCTGTAAAGAAAATTTTTAAAGTGACAGTTTTCATTTTGAAAAAGAATTTTGTTTTTGTGGCTTCATAGATTAACCAACCATTTTTAAAGTTTCAATTTAATTAGATTAGATTTACATAAACAAATGTAACTTAAAATTTGTTTAATCTATCAAATACTGATTTCAGAAATTTGTGACCCAAAGTAAATTATCTCCCTTGAAATTCTTAAAATAAAATTTTCATAGTTCATAGACACAATGAGTTAATATTTGAGAAGTAAATATCTATAAAAGAGGATATAAGTTTTAATGTTTGATTAGGAACTTTCTAAGATCAATGCTCAATAAATATTTTCACTCCGTATATATGTAAGAAAATTCTATACAATACTATCATGATGGCTGACATGGAAAGAATCATCTTTATTTTCTTAAAAAAGATACAAAAGATATATAAGGATATGCACCTTGAGCACAAGAGAATAACTTAGTAACAAAATACACAACATTCTGATTGGAAATGTTCGTGGACATGGGGTTCATTTAAATAAAACTGGATTAATGAATAAACTTACATACTTTCTGATGAGTGGACGAAGTGATTACTGGAGGGTCCATCTACTCTGGTGTCTGAAGGTAACACCAATCAGCTAAGTGACAAACTTTATATTTGTGTGTGTGTATATATATATATATATATATATATATATATATATATATAATATAAAAGGCTCAAACACTAATATTCCATGGTTATAATTTATTACATTGGAATCGTAATCACGATCCAATTCATCAGACCTAGGTGATTATGATTCCAATGTAATAAATTATAACCATGGAATATTAGTGTTTGAGTCTTTATATTATATTCTTACTCTGTCCTGGACATTAAGATCTACCTGGATTCTATCCTCTTGGGAATTTATATATATATATATATATATATATATATATATATATATATATATACACACACATTGAACATTGACCACTAATATTATATATATATATATATATATATATATATATATATATATATATATATATTTCTACCCATATACATTCAAAAAATTACTTAATTTCTCTCACCAAAAAGAATGTAAATCATTATAGAAAACATGGTAAATTTCCATTTTCTTTCAACAGTAATTTTCAGAAAGTATTGTATTTTCTTCATTTACAAGATGAGTAAAGTGCTTATGAAGTGGTATTTTCACATAAAAGACCTAAGAAAATTTTTTAAATTTTACATTGCTCTAAAATAAAGAAATACATTCTAACCAATATGGCAAACCTTTCAAAAAGAAAAGCAATAACATGTTTGGTTTGAACAAGTAAAAAAGCACTTTACAAAGTTTAGCTTAATCAACATATTGTGTGTGAAAATTTGTGAAAAATCTTAAATAATTTGCAATGATCTAATAAGCAGCATTTAGTAATGAAAAATACAAAGATCTGTGTTCAAATGGTTATTTAAAAAAATTTAAAATCAGTGAAAGCTGACAACTTGGGCGAAAGTTTTTCTTAATTTAACACACACTGTATTTTTACTAGCTTCAAGCAAAATTGTTGCTTTTAAAAGTGAGCAATCAGGATAAATCTTTATATAAAACTGAAAATTCAAGCTAGATCTCATTTGCACTTTTACTAAATTCAAATCATTAAGTTCAACCAGTTCATGAACATTTTGAAACATTGTACTTTCATTTATTTGAAATTCCAGATTCTATTTTTGTAAGCTACTTCTCTCCACAATTAGAAAAAAAATTCTTGTTTAGACAGATGTACAGAAATATGGAAACCCAATGACAAATCTGAATAACAAATGAGTACATTACAAGCCATGAAATATACAGATGCTGATATATTTTTATCTCAAAATGAGATGAAATTTAAAAATCAGAATATCTACCCATCTATTGGTAAAATCCTTTTAAAAGAAACATTTGAACAAGGCCCAATGTTTCTTTCTTATACTTTTGAGCTGTTTTGTAAATATAAAAATGTTAAAGTCTTTAAAAATTTTGTACATTTGAATTTTAAATTGGTTTTATTATAATAGAAAATATTTATTGTCACACTTTATTTTTCCATCATTCTCTACAGGCACTGACAATTTGTTTTAGAGGAACTTGAAAAAAATCTTTCACAAAAGACTGACCAGACATCAAAGAGTTTAAGTCATCAGTATGCCAAGAAATATTCTCCAGTTATGCTCTCTGGCAAATTAAAAAAAAAAAATTAAAATAATTTATAACATACAATATATGTGTACTTGAAGATCTGTTGAGGATAAAGTGTAGACTTAATACTGGGTTTTGGCAACCAATCCTCTTCCTTCTTGTCTTAAAATTTTTACTATTTTTAGCTTTAGTTTGTTTTTCTCGCTTATCTGAGAGAAATATGTTGCGATATTTGCATTTGTATCAAAGCCAAATGAAATTTATTATCCGTCTCATGTTGCAAATAAACCTTTTTAATGTTAATTTCTCAAAAATCATGCTTAAAAAAATTATAAATACAAAATTTACGAGAAAAACTGCTTAAAATGTATTTTTTAAGTCACCCAAAGAAATCAAGTATTGTATTAATTTAAAGAGAATTTCTAACAAAGTAGAAATTCTCCAAGTATTATCTATAAATGATAGATTTTTTTCTGTCTTTTAGATGTGTGTCAAGGGTTTTTATTTTTTTTATATTTGTTCATAACAACTGTCAACAAATATTAAAATATATATTTACAGTATAAGAGCAGTTAAAAAAAAATACATGATCAAAGGAAGATTACACACATACTTACATACAGATGAAAAATGAAACAGTAAAAATGATTGTTGGCATACAAGAAAATAAAAATTGCATATATGGGAGTAAAATGATGGTTTCAATGAAGAGGAAACATGAAGCAGAGTAATGAGAAGAAAACTGCAAGGACTTGGCATTACTAACACCTGTTCCTCTTCCACATTGAATATGAGCCAAGTCCCCAAATGCATGTCAACAAATGCCACACTGTTTTACTAGCTTCAGTTGATAGTATTTGGTTCAATATGGGTTGTAATTATCAACATGATTTCTTTAATCTTTTATTAAAGTCTTGCTCTTTGGTCTGCTTTTGTGACTATCATTTCTTGTTAATTCTTTACAAACTATGAACTTTCATATTAAACGTTCAGTTGGTGGTATCTTCATTACATTACCAAGCTCCACTCGAGATCCAGACATTTCTTGTCTACTGGGACTATATGTTCCACTGGTTGCCCTCTTTTTACGAGCAGAAAGCACAAAGTAAACAATACCTGAAAAGAAAAATTTCAATGACAATTATAAGCATCAACTTTTGTGCTTGTCATCAATCTTAACTTGGCTCTATAATGCTTAAATTTCAACTAAACTACTTGTATGATTTAAACTTTTGTATTTCAATCAAGAGGTTTTACAAATATTAGTCATTGATATGAATACAACTTCATTGCATATTAACTTCTATAACATTAATATAATTTCAGACAAGGAATTTTTCTTAAATATATTATCAAATATGTAATATCTTAATTTAGATGATTAATATAGCTTTAGAGATATCAACAAGCCACTTGTCATAAGGAACAATAAACACATTAGTCTAACAAGCTATTAATATTAATGCTTGTTTAGCATCTAACAGCCTAGACAAATTCCTATAAATCAAAATGAGTTTTCAATTAAGTAAATTTTCATCATCTTTAAAGATACATTCAAGGCAGGTACAAATGTAAAAATTGTTTTAATTTTTTATTTTTTTTAAAGTCAGTGTGAAAAACAATTTCTAATTCTCATAAATTTCCAATACTTATATTTTCCACAAAAACAAATTAGTTTTTCTCTGTAGGAAATCAAAAACAAGATATCAACAGGATTGAAAACTATAAATTCATGGAAAGATAAACTGAAAAATTATTGAAAACAGTCAGCACCCTTTTCATTACTGTATTTAATGAATAAAGAATTTAATAAACAAAGTGAATCAACAAAAACTTTTCTCCATGCCATACTCAGATAATTAGTTTTGTATGGTAATCATAAATATATATATATATATATATATATACATACACACAAATCAAAAGTATGAAAATAAATTATCATTGAAACTTAAATATAAAAAAATTATATAAAAAAAACGAACATTAGCCAAACTGTCAAGTCTCCTAAAAAATTATTTTGGATTCAAGGGAGACAACCCAAATGGAAACAGGAAAACAATGTTATTAAGTAGACTGACAAATTAATTCTTTTCAAACAATGATAAATCATTATGACCGTTTTATATTTTTTTTATTTATGTGTGTATATATATATATATATATATATATATAACCCCCCCCCCATTCTATAATGTAATTCTATATAAATCAGGGTTTCCCACCAAGTAATAATATAACTTCATGAATAAAAATTTAGTCATCTATTTGTTCTATGTGTGTTGTATGAGTTGTAAACACCTCTATAACTCCAGTTTGTCATCAATTACCTGTGTCTTACCTGGACAAAAAATTTTAAGCCATGAAGCCTTTATGCTTAAAGTATTATTTATATTCTAAACATAATGGCTACAATGAAAAATCATTACCATAAAAAAATTAATTGATACAGTTTAGCTTTAGGGAATTTATTTACATGAATTCATTTGTTTCAGAAATAGTAGATACAATTTCAATTCTGCACCTATGGCAGAAAAACAGGGTTGCTACTTGTATTAACTTATGTCTTCTACACACTATCTCAATGTTAAGCCAACACACAAAAGTTGTACACTGTTTTTAACATCAAGTGAGTGATTTCAACAATGGCTATATTTTATGCGCACATGAAAGCAAAATTAGCAATGAAAATGTATTAGACTAACAAAACATTCACTGAATTTTATTAGTTGCTGGTAGTGTATATTCTTTTTATTTTATAACTATGCACAAAAATTTTGAAAATTTTTTGTTAACACTTGCAACGCTAACCATTATATATATAAAGTTTTCAATGATCAAATTTGCTTTCATTTGTTCTTTAATATGATAGTAGCAGCAGCAGTTCCCACATATGTCAGCATTATTTGTTAAATCCCATTGGCATTTTTTTTATTGCATCATATAGTCAGTTTACAGACCAATAACAAACTTTTAGGAAACAATTTTTGTATGCCTTTGAATATTTAGGTGGAAAATTTTTTTTTTTTTACACCAACTTGCTTATAGTAAGTTGTGCGAATAATTAATAAAAAAATTTTCAATCAAATTACCAAAAGATATCTGAATGTTCATTTGTGTTAAGTATTGCTAGACAATGGATTCATTCTAGAGTATTTTAAAATATTCACTAGTATGTTGAAATACTTATTTTCCAATCTGTTCTACAAAACTGGGATTTTGCTAGAAATAAAAACTATTTTCTTAACCCAATAAAATTAGGTGTCAGAACAAAATATTGTTTTCATATATATTTACTGTTAGGATTATAAAAGAAGCAATGAAATCACTAATTTTTATAGCAAACAACATTTACCCCCTCTTAAAAAGGTTTTAAATGCCATTAATTTATACCAGGAAATAGCATTTTTTATTAACTTTAACAATTAAGAATCAATTGTTTTTACTCATTTAAATCAGCCAGTCAGTTTTTCAATGATCTTATGTATTAAAGAAATGGTAGTTCATGCAATATGACTTTTCACTAAAAAGTATTTAATCCATAACTGGTCCTAAATAAGCTAAGAAAAAAGAAAGAAAAAATATTAATTTCTTTATTTTTTATCCTCTTTAAAATAATATAAATTTTAAGGGGGGGGAGAGATTTTTAATATATTCAAATTTATTGCCAACACAGTTTTTGTTTTGTGCCAATTTATGTACAAATTTCATAAACTTTGTTTTTCACTCTTAAGTGAGAGTAGCAAGCTAATTTGTTTCAGAACCAAAAACCCATTTCTTAATCAAAACTAAATATATCATTACATAATATATATTGTGTTTGTGCACGTGTGTGTGTATATATATATATATATATATAAATGATATAAAATAGCAAGTGCTGGTGGTAATGAAATAGTGGTCAGTGTAAAGTAACAGAGCTAAAATAAATTATATATTACTTAATACAAATATGAAATGAGATGAGTGAACCATTTTTCACTGACAACATATATTAGTAATATTGAATGGGGGACAAAAAATAAGTCTTTTTTATAAAATGCCAAAGTATTGTAAAACTTTGTTCCCTTTCATTTTTTTCTAAAATGAATCAATTGATACAATTATTAAGCAATTTTATAAACTCTTTGTCCTCAATTCTATCATATGAATGGGAAATGGATGGCACTGAAGAAATTGCTCAATTTTTCTAGCTGCTACAAGAGTGTATATATATATATATATATATATATATATATATATATATATATATATATATCTCAAACTACAATTTGGTTGTATAATGAACTATACAATATATATACAAGTAATATAATGCAAAGTAGTTAATGACAAAGGCAACTAGGAACATTTTCTAATCCAGTCATTAATTTAAACACAAATATTCTGAAGGTCAATAAAAATGTTAAATGTGTTTCTATTTATTTTAGATTAAAAATTCAACAAAATTTTAATGTTTCATTATCAACCAAATATTAAAAAAAAAAAGAAATCTTGTGAAAGTAAGCACTGCAAATTGCAGAAGAAAAATCATGGGAGGTGGAATTTGTTTGGTAAGGAAGATCAAAAATTCTGAGGTGAAAGAGTGGGGAATGTAGAATGTGTTAAAAAATATCAAACATACCACCTGTAAGATAGCAGATTCAAAATGGAAAGTAGGAAAAAGAAAAGAAACATAGTGTTTTAAAAAGATAAAAATATAAAGTGTTTAAAAAAAAAAACCCCAAAAAAACCCAATAAATTTGTTATTTAACTAACTTCATAATTATTTCAACATTCTACACAACATGTTTTTCTTTCCTTTTACTTGATCAAGATAAATAACAGAATTATTGCCATTTCTTTCTATTTTCAAGAACAATGTTTCTCAATTTAGTGTATATCAAAAATATTTAACTCACATACTTGATTTTATTAGTAACACATCATGTCATATTTGAAACTAATTTTCTAAAATAATTACAAAAATTGATTTCCCATAAATTATTTTAATAAAAATCAAAGTAGGAAAACTGAAGTTGACTTACCAATGATAATTGCCAAAATTACAAGTGCAAGTGGAATTCCAATATAAAGATAAAGATTGTTTATATCAATGCCTGCAAGCAACTGAAAAGACAAAGAAAATTCAAAACAAGTCAGTTAAGGTCAAACAGGATTGTTTTTTTTGTTTCTTGTAAAGATAGGTGATGAAGACATCTAAAATATTCAAACAGTGTAACAGGTTTGCTTTTCAAAGCCTTAATATTTTAACAATATCAAATGAAATGAGTACAGAAAATAGGTTATAATTTTACAAGAGTAAAGTGATTGGATATTATTAGAAAATTAAGTTCTCAGAATCCATTAAATTACTTCATAAATTTTCCTTCATAATGTAATGATTTAATGGTCACATGATAATGCCTAACTAATATATTTATTAATCTTCATCCTTATAAAAAAAAAACTAAGCTAGTAGCATTAAGAGAGACACTATGTTCACCCAAGAATGGACACATACTCTTCACATATTTGTCATGAGGATAAATGAATATCTAATGTCTATATCTACAGAGTTATTATTATGAGTTGTCCAATCAAAAAGATAAAGTTTATTCAAAAGTTAGATTTCAACACCTAAAGAGTTTGGAGGAGTAGACCCCCCACAGCAAGATTAGAGGAAATCTGTCAAATAAATAGAAATATATTAAGTTATTCCAGTTTTCTCTATTTACCATTCTACTGCAGACAATGAATTCAAAGTAACATTTTAGGGGTAGGTGGGTTTGGGTTTTAATATTGCCATGTTTTATTGCCCATTCAATATAAGTATTGCATTTTGGGTTCAAAATAATATATATAAAAATGATTGAATCACACTAGAGGCCCCTTTAAGATAGTTTCCAAATATATAAAAAAAAATGTTTTTTTAATCTTGAAATTCTTCACGGTGGAATTGCTGAATAAAAAACATTTTTCCTCCAGGTAAGTGTACCTGTTATTAATGTTCACTCTCTTCTTGATCCAAAAGTCATCCAAATGTCATTAACCAAAAACAACACAACTTCTAGAATCATAAACGACATATTAGACATCTTTTACTGTGACACAGTACCTAGAAAGATGGCTCACAGCATTTCAACTAGACAATCACACTCAAGACTCATGTAATACTTATCTCCCTAGTAGACAGCATTGGACAATAATAAAAATGGGTTCTATGAAGAGCTAGAAGTTAATAGCAGTGTAGTTTATTTGACAATGTAGATTTTAAAGATGACTATATTGTTTAACTGTTGATAACTGTTATAGAAATGTGGGTTTAATATGTTAGCTACCAATAACTTGGGTTCTGTTTGTCAATGCATGTATAAAATAAATGAAAATGGTGTTTTCTGTCTACTTTTTTCCTGGGCCTCTTGAACCAATGCTATGACCGATCACCTTTATCTTCTTAATGACTACTATCCTGTCACTATGCAGATGATGCAAAGTGTTTCCTGCCAAACATATAGTACAAAGATATCTGTACATTGGATTCATTCTATGTACATATATTTATCCTAGCCTTTATGTAAGTTGTCTTTTTGCGGATGCACATGGCAGTCAAAGTCGACCTTGGTTATGCCAGCCTGACTGGTACTGCTCTTTTCCATCGGTTTGGCCATTGAGATAGTGTAGATCATTACCTATTCCACCACTGGAGACTTCAGGGGTTGGTCCCCCTCCTCGAACTTACCTCCATGAGTGGCCTTACAGGAGTTGGAACTCTAGATGTCTCTGTTCTTGGGATCACTGGGACACACAATTCCTCTACCATGACAAGGAATGACCATATACATATTACACTGGATGGCATAGTGAACAGTTCATTATCAAATGTACCACTTTGATTTCTTATTTTTATTATTGTCATTAAAGTAATAAGAAAAGAGCAAAAGTATAAAACTATGTGTATGTATCCAAATATAGTAATCACTACTTGATCATGTGGTGACAGAAGATAGGTTTGTTTTCAGTGTAGCAAGGATGGGTTAGCCATCTAAAGTCACCAGCTAGTCATGCAAATGTTTTGGATGTTATGATTGTAGAATTGGAAAATAGACAAAATTAATTTATCAACTTTGGTTTTTCTTGATTTCCATCTATTTATATATACATCTATAGATTTGCTTTGCAAAGCTCATAGCTTTATAACCTGGTTGTAAAAACTTTCTGACTGGTTAGTTGAACTAAAACTTTGTTAACCTGGTGATTTTTATTACCCATCTATTTTTAGAAATGGTGAAATTTTGGTCTTGCTATTTTCATTTATTTCCATCACCACACCTTCAACATATTGGGCTGATTTGACACATTTTTACAATTCTACATGTATGTAAACTAACTTGCATTATCTTATGTTTAACAACAACACACTATGATCTCTTCTATTCCAATTTAGATAAAAACTTACACTAAATTTCTCAGCATAAACTCTTCTGATCTCACCTTTTCAGCACAAATTGCTCCTTGCCAGCCATCAGGACAGCTACAATTTGCATAACTATTATTTCCAATGACACTGTAAGTGCAATTAGCACTATTCATGCAAGGGTTTCTCTCAGGAGAGCAAGGGTTTGGAATGTGACAGTTTTGACCCAAGAAATTCAAAGAGTCACATTCACATCGATAACTCCCAATGGAATTAATACATTTTCCATTATTCTGACAAGGATTTGCATTACATTCATTTATGTCTTCACTGCAGTTCTGTGATGTGAATCCTGAAAAATGAAAAGCAAATATGAAATGCCTACAGCAGTAAAAACATTAAGAAAAATTGAGAAAAAAATTGTCATGTTTTAATTTATACAATAAAGGCCCATATCATTTTTAAGAGTATTTAGGAAAAGAATTTTTCTCTTAATGAAACTGCATAGACTTATACAAGAGGTTTAGTTACACTTCTAGAAATGTATTTCAGGTCATAATATTTGCAAAAAGAGAAGTTAATTTTCCCTTACATTTATGATTCAATCAGAAATATTTGTTCAAAAAGACTAAAAACTAAGTTACATAAACTTATTTAAATTGCATTCATTAAAAATTTGATTTTATGGGATCCAGACTCTGCTAATGGTCGTCTCATGCTAAATAATAGGTGACTGTAAAACATATCCAACTTGTGTTTTTTTAAAGGTCCAAAATTACGTTTTCTTAACTTGTTTCAAATTATCTCTATGTTGCAATTTTTTTTTTAAATATGTACTTTTCTAAACATTTATTTTATTCACAGTCAAATACAAATATCCCCTTACTTGTACAGCCACAAAAGAAATTTCAATTCACCATAGCCGGTGAAATCATTAAGTGAACAAAATTCAAGGGAGGCAATTCCAGTGACATTGTGATTAGATGCAATTTATGTTCAACTCACCTGGTGTACAGTGACATTTATATGTCTGAGCAGTATAATTCTGTGTACATTCAGCATTATTCTCACAAGGGTTATCAGTACAGGGACCTTTATACTGACACAATGGGCCTGTGAAGAAAAGGGATAATTTATCTTCAATTTTCAATTTTCTTAATCAAATTTCAGTCAAATTTTTTTTTAAATAAGATGAACTAAAATAAAATTAAACTAAAAAAAGCAAAAAAAATAATACACCTATAAATAATAGGAATCTTCAATTCACCAAGTACCCTTTCTATAGATTATTAAATAGAATGGCATTATTACAATAATCGTAACTAAATTTGTTTATGTAAAAAAAAAAAAAATATATTCACCAAAAAATTTCTACCTTAATATTAATTAGTAGGAAAACTTGCTTTTCTCAAAAGTGATTGATTCTTGCCAACACTACCTTTGTCTAACAAATATTGTTAGTATGATATTCCTTGAATTACTATTAGCACTCATGAGAATATGCTTTATAATCAGTAGAATACCAAAATCAATTCATGATAATGTTTCTCATAGTTTTAATTATAAGAAAGCAAAGACTATTTTGACAGCCTTTAAGATATCAACAATCTTGACATGGCTCTAAAATGTGAAAGTTGTGAAAACAGCAATAGTAGAAGAGTTAAATAAATATAATTATATAAGTAGTAAACAAAAAGAAAATAGAGAATAAAGAGACCATAAGTCATAAGCAATATTAAAATGTTATGCAATTTCAAAGAATTAATGAAAGAGATGATTAAAAAAAATGAAAATAAAATTACATTTTCTTTATTTTAAATTTCAGCAGCATTTTAGAAATTTTGTCGGTTATTGTATTTTTATATAAAAAATATTTTACACATTTTTATTGAATATGACCTTTTCTTCTGGAATTCACTTTTTGGTGGGTAGTATGAGGGTAATTTAAAAAATTAAATTGTATATTAAACTTTACCTTTTGTTTTCATTTTTTTTTTTTAATGCAAGGAGTTTTGTTTTTTTCAATAATCTATAAACATCCGTAATTTTAAGGCACAGAAGCATTAAATGAACAAAATATGAATGCATGATGATTTTGCAATAAGATGCCACTTTTTCTTTTTTAGGCTGCTAGATATTTTAATAAAGTATACAGTAATCAAGGTCTTGCCTTACATGAAGTTTGCACAATAAATTGGACATCCAGCATTATAAACATGGACACAAAAATCAAGGTTTAATTTTGCATCATACTTTATATTTCAAATCAAAGACCCACCAAAAAGTCACTTCCCTCACATGACTTATTAGATTTAGAATCATTTTTTTTAAAGAAACAAAAAAAAAAAAAAATTCACTGATGAATCCATTTCCTCAACCCAGTTATGGATTAAATAACTAAGACTTCTATCTGGAAAAATCATTGTTATTCCCCCCAAGAAATTAGAAATGCAATATTCCCTCACAAAAAAATCTGTTTTGGTGTATTTAACAGGGTCAATAAGTCACATACATCAATCAACAGTCCTTTTATTCTGAATCCCCCATTTTACAATATTTTTTTTTTTAAATTATATGATTTAGTTCCCCTAAAAGAAAAAGACTGTTTCAGTGGGGGGATTTTTGCCAAAGAAAAAAAATTGTGAACTGTTTTCTAAAGCAAATCTTTGTCAATGATTGATTTAACCTAAATTGTACAAGTCCTGCAAGTAGACAAGGGCCCAAATTTGTTTTACTAAATAAGTATGAAGTAAGGGGTCATGATAAATTTCTTTAACAAAACAGGCACAATTAAAAAAGATGAGAAAAGCCTACTCTAATCAATTTTTGATTGATGAAATTTTTCCTGACACTTATTTATATAATTTAGCTTCTGGGAATTATGGTCCAAATTTCAATATTTTATTCCTTTGCTTTTTGCAGATCATTAAATATGGTCCATATCATACTACTTCTGTATGAAAACACCATGACCAACATTTTATCAGTTAGTTCAACTATCTCTTGGATCAATATAAACCATTGTTTATGATTCACATTACCTCTGACACTTGTCTCTCCTCTAAGCTTAAATGTAAGCAAAAATAAGCCCAAAATTTCAACTGCAAGAATAGCAGCATTGTCAGTCCTCTCTTGTAATTTTGTATAGAGAAAAAGTAGTGAACTGCCAGAAGACATTATATTGGTGTTGTATAGACACACACAAAATATCAAATTGAATTATAACTACTTTCCAAACATGAACATGTGTATATAACAATGTTACAACATTTACATTATTGATTCAGGCTTTCCACATGGAGCACTCACAAAATTTTGCTGCAAAATGAATATAAGTATTATTTTATGAACAACTAATTCACTCCCATATACTACAGTATCGAGTCTTGGTAACACTGAAATATCATTTAATGTGCTACAACAAACAAAGCAAATTTTTACTCTCAAAAATGATGAAATGAAAAAATAATCATGATGCAGTTGATCTAGTACAGGACTACATTGGGTTGCATAAGAGTGAGGTTTTGTGCATTCAACTACAGTGAGCTCATTACACACTGAAGAAGAAAAAAAAAATAGGTGTACAGTGTGACAACACAACTTGATAACAGAAAACTGATTCATTTTAAATATGATCATATCTGCATAATAACTGGCAAAAATACCCTGATATTAAAAATAAATTTTTCAGGTGTTAATTGAATTAAATCTCAACATTTAATATCTATAAAAAATACTTGTAGTTTTTCAATATTTCATAAATAGTAAAAATGTTAACCAAGCAATTTATGCTAGTTATTTTTTTCAAAAGAAAAAAAGTTTTTCAAAATATAATTAGAGTAAAGCTTTCTTCATTCCATTAAAATCTGTGGTAGATTCTGTAAATTCTGGCATTGAATAAAGATACCATGTCACTGCTATTACCTGCATTGTTAAGGAAATTTTCACATATTCTCATTCTCCTCTATATTTTCTCATCATTATCAGTATTACTGGCAACAAAATGGAGTGTAGGGAAAGTTGGATTCATGCCTTTTTTTAAAGCATTAATGGAAAAAAAGTAGATGGCACAAATAGTTAATATCTATTTTCCAACTTCAATTACAGAATCTTTCAATTTCCTAAAATTACAATTTGACTAAAATATAAGAATATTTCTTTTATTTGTCAGCCTATATATATATATATATATATATAATCTCCAGAGATCCTCACTGTTGCACAGTATGTGGAATTGTATGCAGGTCACTAGTGGGACTGAAGTGTTACATACAACACAAACATAAAATTGAATGAAGTTATTAGATCCTCATACATTGATTTCAATGGGAGAGCTCATCATATAAAAAAGATAAATTAATCAAAACGCTATATTATTTAAATCCTTTTTCAGATTTATTATCTTGGCTCAGATAAATAACATGATTCTGAAGTAGAAATGCCAATGCCCGATAATAAAATATATTGAACCTCATTTTTAGGTGAGCATAATGTTACTTGGCACAAGATCAATAAATTAAGAGTGAGGCCATTCTATGATGTATCAAGTATTTATAAGAGTAGAGTTATTTCATTTTTTTTCATTATAAAGTCATTCAAAAGAGAAAAAAAGGGGTCATCTCATTAAGACTGTGTTAAATTCCACAAAGCAATACTTTCTTAGAAAGTCATATTTAATATTTCAAACAACTTTAATGATTTCAATGATTTTTTAATATTTAAAATGCCTTTAATATTCAAGTATTTAATAACTTAATATTTGAAATACATTAATGATACAATTCTAACAGTAATGCAGAATTATTTGGGGGAGAAATTTATTTTTTGAAATTTAAATAATTTCAAAATATATATTTAGATGTCTACAAAAAAAAAGAAAAAAAAAGAAAGAAAATGATGGAAAAGAAATTCTGACAAATACAAGACATATTTTTGAAAATTTCAATAAATGGATTCCAATAAATGATGAAAATTTCAATAAATGGATTCCAATAAATGATGAAAATCATCTGCTCACAAATTAGTTCTCAATGTTTCAATGTAAAGTTCTTTAGAATTCTGCAAACAAAAAAAACTCTTCTGTATCTATTAAAACTGTTTGGACAGGAAAAATTCTCATATGAAAATTGGCAGTGAAAAAAATTAAAATCTTATACAACTCTTCACAAATTTTTAAAAATAATCAACTGATTAATGGAACAGTAATTATTTTAATTTCTTTTCAACCAATCATAGCAGAGATGACCATTTGTGCTGGGTACTAATCTAGTTAGTGAAGGTGGGGGATTGATACCTTCATAATATTTGGGGCAGAGGCAGAACCATTCAGTTTCTGTTACAAAACATGCACTATTGAAAGCACACTGAATGTTTTGACAGTTTGGGATGTCACAGTTCTTGCCCTCATACCCTGGATGACAGTCACAAAAGTAGCTACCAGCGAGATTGTCACAGGATGCATTATGTTTACATGGACTACCTTCTGGAGCCTCACATTCATTAATGTCATCTGCACATAAGTAGCCTAGTAGAAAGAATAATTGAAAAGCATGATAAATAGAAATATTAAAAAAAAAATAAATAACAACACTAAAATGGTAGTGATGGGTTCATAAACTATACATTAAAAATAATGTCTTTAAAAAAAAAAAAAAAAAACATGTCTACATATAATATTTACATAAAATACTTTTGGTTAGGTTTTACAAGCCATTTAAAACTGAATCTTTTAAGACAACATTGAAATAAAAGTAAAATCAAAACAGGGATCTAATCAGCCATAATGCTGTGATAGTTTGAATAGATTCAAATTTCAAAGTGAAGTTTGAAAAATAAATTTAGTTAAAAATACTGAAATTAAAGATGCTGCATAAAAAAAAAAAATAATTTAACAGGACTCTCAGAAAAATAATTTAATTCCAAAGCTTTAAAATATGGAATTTCTTGCTTCCATCTTTTTAAAGAATTATTAACATAGAAACAAAAATAAAGTTTCAATATGTGATAGATGAAAAAAAAAAAAAAAATTTTAAGTTTAAATCTTTCCACTTTTTGCTATAAGAATTTAATAACCAGGAAAAATACTTATGGCTCACAAACCATAAACTGTAATATAAATTATATTGTTATATATTTATATTTGTTTATACCAAATAATTTATAGATATAATACATTTAAAATGCCCAATGTGAAATATATGTCAAAAGATCGGAGCCATTTACATCAATTCTTATAGTAACAGAACTAAAGATATTTTTAATTGATTGGATAAGTGACCAAGAATTCTGATTTTAAATGATTGTATAGCATTATATTCATACATCCACAAATGCCAAAATATCTTCAAATAACAATTCAAAATAGAACTATTTTTTTATATTTATTAAGTCTCATCCAAATTGACATAAACAATAAGGTTATACAAATACAAAGATATGTGCTTACTTCACAAAAAAGACCAAAAGAAAAATTTAAGAAGTCTATAGAATATTTACCTCCATATCCTGTGCCTGTGCAGTTACAGTCAAAAGAACCCTGTAAGTTTTTACAAAATCCATTATGAAGGCACCATTCTGTTCGATTTTCACATTCATTAATGTCTTCCATGCAGGTTTTACCTTTCCAGCCTGGAAGAAAAGGAAAGAAATAACAAAAGAACTGGAGTGTAGATAAAAGTAATTATATAAATTATATAAATTATTATGAAACTAACCAACTCCATACATACATCAAAAATATATTGATATTACATTTATGCAGATATCAAATACTTATTTCATGCTAAATATTCTGGCAAATTTTATTCAGCCTATTGCTTGAATATTGTTAACTGAACCTAGGAAATATTAATTTGTAATAATTAAATTTACAGAGTACTTCAATATCTATGAATTCAATTTTTTTTTATCTTGTAATAACTTACAAAATAAAATACTACTGAATTAAATAATCATACATCTAAAAAGAGGGCTTTTGTGTGTCACTCCTAGAAAATATTGTGACAACAAAATACATTTTATGGATTATTTATACATTTCTAAAAAATCTATCCAAAACATCATACAGTCAAAACTGTCGTAGGAAATATTTTAATCAAGAAAGCATGATTTAAATTGATTATATTCATCACATATAATCCTTTCAAATAAAAAAATCTAAGGGCGATAGATATTGAAAGTTTTCCTAAAATTTTTGAAGAGTTGGTTCCCCTGAACTAGAACATCTGCCTATCATACCGATAAATGAAAATAACACCGAAAATTAGTAGATACACACATTTGAAAATAAACGTCCCATTTTTACTTTAAACAATCTATCGGCCTGCGTATTCAAGAAATTTTAGTGAAGAAAATGTGCTCTCCAGCAGGTATCGAACCTGCGCCCGCCTTTGTAAGAGAAACGTTTCAAAAAATGTCAGGTTAAAAATAAATCTATTAAATTAATTATTTAGAAATTGCTGTGTTTACTTTTCAGCTAAGAAACTTAGCAGATATGATCTTTCGAGAAAAATGTCTTGGTGAGGAAGTGTGCTTTCTTTAAAATGGAAAATAAGGCCTTGCTTCACTGTGGCACACTTTGCAGCCAAGTGCTAAAACCCACCAGACCAAACTTGTTTCTCCCACAATGTGGGTGCGGGTTCAACTTCTGCCAGAGAGCACATTTTCTTTATTGGAATTTCTCAAATACACAGGCCAACATATGTAATACACACTGTTTAAAGTAAAAATAAAAATGAGACATTTATTTCAAATATTGTTGTTGTTGTTGAACAATAACATTTATTCCCTTTCATTTATTAGGCATTAAATTACATCATTTAACATCTGCCATAGTTTACCTTGACTTTCAGTTAGCTTTAAGAATATTTTTGAACATACTTAAATTTAAAAATTTTGAAAAATTAATATTTTGAAATACTAAAACTATATTTCTTATTTATAAGTTAAATATAGAAAACTAACAATTCTTCATTTTCATTCAATGTAAATTTAATTAAAAAAAAATATCTGTTATTTTTTATTACTAAGAGTATTGTCATTAATAATTTGCATATTATTGTAGTTTAAATAATAAAAATAATATTTGAAGTACTGGTGATAACCATCAGTTTTTTCCTCCCATACTAGAATATTCTGGTGAATACTGCAAAAATCCAAAGCATGAAAAATGAATGTATAAATTTTAACTTAAAAAAAAAAAAAAAAGTTAAAATTTATATATTCATTTTTCATCTAATTTTGCATCCATTTTCAGTATTCCATAATTTTGAAATTATAGCCATTCATCATTCATTGTTTTTGCTATAATAAAATGTTTTTACATGTACTGTTTTCTTTTGTGATGATCAATGTTCAATGTTAATATTAATTCAACTCAACAGGCAAGCAATTGTAAGATGACACTATCACCAAGCCACATGTCTAGTGCACAGAATTAAAATCAAACTTATTCCCAATAGCTTGTAAAATCAGCATACAATATTCAAGAACATTCCAACTGTCTTCAGTGCAGATAAAATATTAACAAGACAGTGTTCAATGTTGAAAAGTAAACACTATTTTACCTTTTAAACAATCACAAGCAAAGTCTCCAACCAGGTTTTTGCATTTTGCTCCATTTTGACAAGGTGATGACTCACAGTGATCAATCTTATTCTCACAATAAATACCATTATGATCTTAAAGAAATTAAAAAATAAAATTTAACATTTCAGAGGAATATGTAAAAATATTTAAATGTACAAACTTTTTTAAAGAATAAATACATTAAACATTTTCAGTCATCCTTTCAAAAGCAGTCAATATTTATAACATATTCTCAATAAGAACAGACATGTTTTCCTAAAATATCAGTATAAACCATAATAAAAGAAAACAATTTTCCTTTTATTACATCAGAACTTCTTAACACCATACAGAAACTTTATCAATAAACAATTATCAATGTGTTTTATGATATTAAATGCTAGACAAGATGTAAATAAAATTAAGTTTCTTCAAAAGATAAGCAAGTCATGATTGAAACTTTAATTCTAATTCCTTGACTTATCATAGAAAGAAATTAACAGAACTGCATAAAACTTCCTGTTATTTCAAATTCATAATTGATTTCTTTCTCAATGGAAAAATAATAAATACACATCTCAATTGGAAGATTTAACATCTTTTTTTATTATTATTAAATATTTACCAAAAATGATTTACTTTATAGTAATCATCAATTCATAAAATAAATTACCATATTATGAAGTAATGGAATTTTCTTTGTCTCAGATTTTCATACAACTCTGGAGTACAAACAAATGATACCAGACAAAAATGATTGCCATATTGGCATAATATAGTGTAGGGAAAAATCATCATCATCATTATTATTATTAAATACCATTTGTAGAATGTGTTAGTAGTTGAAAGACAGCCTACTGTAAAAGTGAAAATACTTTTGTAGTGTATTTTTGCAAAAAATATTTTCAAAGTGAGAATCTATGATTATGCTAAAATGTTTCAGCAATTACTCACTAATCTGAATTGGGTTAAGAATTTAAAGAATTCCATTGTAAAAATGTTTTCATATTTAATCTAACAGAAATGGAAATTTCTTTAAATACAAGAATCAATCACTATTTTTCAGAAATTAGTGATCCTTTGATGGCTACCTCACTTTAAGATTTTTAATTAAAAAATTAAAACAACTGTCATAAATACCAAGCATTTGAGGAAATTGTAGATGAGCATAAACAATGACTTAAAACAACATAATTCTGGTTTGAAAATACAAAAGGCAATTGTTCAATTATTTCTATCAACAATCTCTCTTGTCACCATCCATTAAAAATAATTGGAGAATAATGTCAAAATTCTTACCATTATCGCAGTTGCAATGAAATCCTGTTCTTGCTTTATTTGTTGAGCAATTACCATTATTCTTGCAAGTTACATTTTCACAAAAGTTTATTTCAAATTCACATTCTTTGCCTTCAAAACCAGCATCACAAGTGCAATTCACAACGTCATAAGTCTAAAATAAAAGGGAAAAAAATCACTGAAGTACACCTATAGGTAATTAAAACAATTTATAATAACTGTATAAAATGTACAATTATGTATAAACACAAATCAAATGGAACATATCATTTACTGCTGCAACCAATTCCATATAAGTGGAATTTTATTGCAAGTATTCCACTAATTGATGATGTGAGAATGTTATAAGATGAAACACTAACAAATTATATATATTTTATTCATAGTAATATTACCAATATATACTTCATTTAATGCATAATTTAAAAAAAAAAATAAATCACTAAACAAGGAATGCCCTGATAAAAAGATAGTAAAGTTTTGAATGTGATTTAAACATTTAAATAATTTATGATAAAATTCTTATATAATTCCTACCATACAAAGAATTACCAAAGTATGGCCATTCAAGCAACAAACTTAATATTTAACACAAAATCCATCATGTAGAATGAATTGTCTTCACTGTGTATTGAGTAAATAATTACAATTAGCTTAATTGTAATTATTCAATCTAAAAAACAGAAGATCAGGTAAGTTGCTTCAGTAGAAGGAAAGCTGATAACCAAAGAGAACTTTGTACAAACCAACAATATTCATGAAATTTAGTAAAGGATTTTTTTTTTTCACTAATACAACATTAATTGTAAAAACAAAACAAATCAAATAATCCTTACATTTCCTATGTAGTTGGTGTAATTATGCTTAGTGCAGGTTCCATTCTTGCAAATAAGAGATGCACAGGTCTGATTAATCTATAAAAAAAGAAATTCTCAAATGAATACAAATACAGAAATTAACAAAACAACCAAACCTTGCAAAACTATTTTTATTGTGGATGCTGCTTTTTGAAAACAATATCCATTTTTTAAGGATTGAGGAATATAAAAAAAAATAAAATAAAATTTTGCTATTTAGAGTCATGATAGTATAGAATGTTTTTCTTTGTAAAATTGATGGAAAACTCCAGACAATTTTTGACACATTGAATTTTATACTCATGCCTTTTTTTTTTTACAATTGCATAGTTAAAAAATAAAAATACAAATAAAAGTGAAAATTTAGCTGATGTTTAAAACTTGAGATTTACTTACATGTCTACAATGTGCATGCATTCCTTCAGAAAAAACATTGGTACTTGCAAAAGTTACCTACTACCTACCAATCCATTAATGATCGTGTTGGCATAAAACATTAGTTTTAATATCCAATGAAAATAAGACTTATCACAAATCTTTCAATAAAGTTTCACTCTTATTATTGCTTCACCCGCACCACACACAGCAAAAACAACACAAATTATCAAAGCAATAGAGCCCAGCAGAAAAAAAATATGTCTGGAAATGAAATATACATCTTATGAAATTTTTCACAAAAAAATAAAATAAAAAAAAAATAATTTACATTCATTGATATGCACCTCCTCACTGATAAGCATGAGGAGTTAGGGAAAAATATGTATTTCATTTTTAAAATTCTAGTTTCTGATTATTAGCTCTGAAACTTTTTGGCCCTGATTGAAAATTGTCTATTTACTCAAGAAGATACAAGGTAAGAAGTTACTTTGAATTTAAAAAAAAAATATTGTTTAACACTTTCACTAAGTTAAATGTGTGTTGGGGAGGAAATATATATGTATGTATGCTATTGAGAAAAAATGGTCCAAAACCTGGTTTCAAGAATACCCAAGACATATGAACATGGAAAAGCCCAAGAGAAAAATCAACAAACCAAACTGATTACACAACTATCAGTAAGAGATTCAAGAATGCAGTTTTACACTGAAGAACATACCCTAAATTCTTCCAATGATATGAAAATTTGAAATTACAGAAATCAAAAAGGGCTAAATTGCAATACAACTGATTCCAGAATGACCCAAATGTGAAGGATAAATATATGGACAGTGTTAAAAGCAGACAAAATGAGAATAGAAAATCAAAGTAGAACACATTAAAAGAATCTTTACTAACATCAGCAATCATCCCAAAGAAAACTAAACAAAGAAAAAAGAAAATGGATGATAAAGGAAATTCTTGACATAAGGAGACAAAAATAATTCCAAACAACTGAACAGAAACAAAGCAGTAAAACCAGAAAGAATTGTAATCAAGATGGTGGCAGCCTTAGATGATTTCAGCATTGATAATATCACAGACATAAAAAATTAAATAAACAATAGTGATGATATACCAGAAAACCTAAATTGATCCCGTTTCATAGCACTGCCTAAGTAGAAAGATGCAAACGAATCCATTGGACAGTCAGCCAAATGAACCATATAACAGAACTTATCAAAATTTTGAGGAATAGAGTACACAGCAGAATTAGAATGGAAACAGGACAAGAACAGTGCAAGTTCATAAAGACACTGGAACAAGGAATTCAATATTTATGCTCAGAATGATATCAGAAAGAGAAATACAAAAGCAAAAAGGCTGTATACCTATGTTTTATAGATTATACAAAAGCATTTGATAAAATACATTAAAAAAAAATTGTTGGAACTGCTAAGTAACCTTGATGTATTTGGAAAGGATATATAAATAATCCAGAATATATACTGGCAACAAACTACCTGTATATAGATAGAAAATAAATTCAGTAAATATACAAAAATAAAAAGGGGTTGTATGACAAGGATGCATCTTCTCACCAGTCTTATTCAACCTATACAGTGAGACAATTGTAAAAGAATTAGTTCTACCATGATTCATTATTGGCAGCCACAATCTTATCAGCATAAGATGCATATCTTATGCTGACACATTGTTGATAGCAGACATAAAAAGGAATCTAAGGTAGTGAAGGAAAGAAGAAAGGATTAAACATCAATTGAAAGATAGAATGCATGATTGTTAGGAAAAAAAAAAAAAAAAGCCCAACATGCAAATTACAAATTGGAGATACCAAAATCAAACAAGTACAATTTAAATATCTAGGAAAAGTTTTAACAGAGGAGGGAAAGTACAACATTCAAATCTGAAGGTGCATTAGGATAGTAAAAGATGCTTTCCAAAGGCTAAGCAAAGTATTAAGGAACAGGAATATTTCATTAGAAACAAAGAAAAGAACACCAAACTGTTACGTAAAATCAGTCATACTATATGGTAGTGAATGTTGGACAAGCTCCTCACAAATGAAGAAGAGGCTTGAAACAACAGAAATGTGGTTCTACAGAAGGATGCTGAGAATACCATGAACCAAAGATGTAAGCAATGATAAAGTTTCAGAAAAAATGGAAACAAAAAGGACACTTAACATCAGGAAGAGGCAGTTGAAATTTCTAGGGCACAATGAGGTAAGAGGGTTTGGAAAATTTGACACTCACAGGACAGATTGAAGGCGAGAGGGGAAACAATGCATAACCTACCTCGAGAGCTTGAGTAAATGGATAGAAGAACAGAGTATAAGAGAGTTACAAAAAGCTACAAAGAGAGTTGTGGAGAGCCATGATTGCTAACATCCTGAGAGGACATAGCACATAGAAGATAGATGATGATTTTTTTTCATCATGTATGAAAAGTTCTCAGTCCAACTCTCTTCCCAAAATCTGACCAAACACAAAAATCATTTTTGTTTTGTTTTTTTAAGGGCTTCTTGGTCTCGCTAAGAACTTTTTAGTACCTCTTCATATTAAATTTGTAAATGGATAAACCAACATTTATAAACATGAATATGATTTTTCTATTTGTATTATTAAAATATATCATTTGGTATTTTAACCTTAAGTTAAAAAATCTTGAATCACCATGAGAACTTATATTTTAGTTAAATACTTGGTTAAAATTAAAAGGTAGACAATTTTTTCTTAACTGTCATGTCCTTTTAGGAAATAGGGAATCTGAGTTCTCAACAGATCGTTTTCTTTGTCTATGAATTACTGTTTTCTTGGGAAAGATAGTGGAGTAGTTTCCCATTACCTTATTCAGTTTTGGAATTTTCCTTCTTAGAATGGTTTAGTTACCAAATAAGACTAGAAATATCAATCTATCTTGCTATTTAATCCATAGCTGGGGTTGGGAGAGCATTCATGCCTTTTCCAGGGGCATTTGTGTGAAAGTGAATATCACAAGTTAGGCTGGAATTTGAACTCAGTTCACTATTTTCACTCTGCACAGAGATAACTGTTACACTACCAGCATACCAAAAGAAGAACTGGAAAATAACAGGTGCAAATTGCCAAGATCAGAATATTCAACATCAATTCCTGACTATTTTCTTTACTAAATGCTTCCAGCTGTTGCTAATATTACTTAACATTTAGCTTACTAAAAAGGTTTAGCAGCTTTATGTTATATCTGATGTTTATTAAATTATCTAATTTGTAAATCCATCAAATTCACACAATTGTCAGAATTTACCAACACTTTCATGACAAAGTTTTTTTTTCCTTTTCTTTTTACATCTGTTAATTCTTAGTTAATTTTATGAAATTTTGAGAAATCTTTTTGTAGGGATTAATGTTTATATATATCAGTTACAAGTCCTTGGAGAATTTAAATCATGAATTTTTTTTGGTAACACAGTTACAGAAATTCTGCACTGAATTATAAAATAAAAATGCAATAAAACATCATTTAATTATTATTTTAACATTGGGTTAAAGATTCATCAATGTTAAATTTAATTCATTAGCTTGAAATTAAAAGTAAAATAAAAGCCTCAAGAAAATATTTTTTTATTTTTAAAAATGCATTTTAAATCTTAGATATCACTTTTCTTTGGAGGTACATAATTATATATATTACATACATACATACAGGTTGTGATGAGTAAATTGTTTCCATTCTATATTTTTAATTTTGCACATGCATGTTTTTGATTTTATCAACTGTACAGTATAATAGGTTCAGTCAGGCACCATAAAGAACACTATGATGCAATTCATGCCACTAGAAATTTGGAAACCATATGCTGTACTGCTTGGCAGTCATGACAGAAGCTCCAATATGAACATTTCAGGGTGTTTGAATGTCAATCTGAGGATAGTGCAGAAGATTCAGAAAGTGTTGAATGGTGATTGGAGTGATCACTAGTGAAGGTGGCATTATGCCTCCATTCATCTTCTCACAGACAACATGGAGACCTACATCAAGTGCCTTGATGAGGTAGTGCTGCCCTAGGTCAAGAGGATGGCTGCTGGAAGACCCTATTTCTGGAAAATGGACTGCAACATGCAACACAGGCAGGAGAGAGCCCAGTCATGGCTGTCAGCTAATTTCTCTGAACACATCACCCATTACATCTGGCCACCTAACTCCCTAGACTGCAACCCCCTTGATTATATGTGGGATGAAGTTGAGCAAGAGACCAACCAAACTCCTTGTAACACCAAAGATGAACTGAAGGCAAGGATTATAGCAGCATTTACCAACTTAAACAAGTAGACCATTTAGAAGAGTTGCAGGAGATTCTAAAGTTGCCTAGAGGCCAATGGCGATTTTATTGAATAAGTTTCCTCTTCAGTATTTCAAGATATCTTTGTGTAATTTTGGTAAATATATCTTAAAATGAGATGTCAGTGTTATTTTCATTTTTGTGTAATTTAGATGACCATCCATCCATCTGAAATTTCTGGGACACGTAATGAGAAAGGAAAGCTTGGAGAATACTCACAGGGCAAATAGAAGGAGAGAGAAATAAGAGAAAGCAACGTGTGACATACCTAGCCAGGCTTAAGCAAGTGGATGACAGAAGAGGAGCTAAGAGAAATAGCAAAAGGACAAAACATACTGAGAACACTACAAGGGAT